GACAACTGATCTCCATTGTCGTATGGAAAAATATACTATAGCTGCCAATGAGACCCAAACCTATGGACCTAAGTCCACGGTGAATTAAAAAAAAATCTTTCACTTAAGGCTATATTTGGTAAAATACATATATAAGATTACATTTCACTGCTAACGAAGCATCCCAGTAAAACAGGTAGCAATTTAATAGTAATGATGGCCCAAAGTAGTCTCATTTTCATTCATAAAATAATGAATAATAATGTAAGCTCTGCTCTTTGGTGTATGAGAGCTCTTCTGAGATCTTCAGCCACATGGACTCTCAGACTTGAAGAGCAGAGCAACATTTTCACCTCTTTGAGAGTGGGAGCTGTCAGGCCAAAAGCACAGAAAAGGAATCCGGAAGTCCTCCAGATGTTATTGTTTGCCACTCCCATCATTCTGGATTTCAGGCCATGCTGCCAAGAGCTGATGGAAATAGCCACCTGACAACTAGAAAGTCACAGAGTCTCCCACCCCACAGAAAACATCAAAAGGAAACTTCTTCTCTGACATTCTCCAAAGGAACATAGCTAATGGTGACTGAAATGTTTAGCTTACAGAACTACCACCAGCTATTCCCTGTCATGATACCTGAACTTTTCCCTCATCTCTCAATGTTAAGAGCCACTGGCTTTTTATAAGTGCTACATAAAAAGCAAGGAAATCAGCAGACAATGAACAAAATGCCCCACTCTAGAAAACAAAATAAATGGATACATATTGATTAAACTTTATCCTGATTTAGATTTTGAAACTGAAAAGTTCAACTTGTCAGAATGGCCACAAGGATTAAGGATTTCCAATTTACAGGGAAATCCTTTTAAAAAATTGAAAATAAGCCCCTCTGTGTCTGGGGAATTTATTCCTCTGCAAGCATATCTTGGGTTGAGTAAACTTTAAAATAGCACAATCTGAATGCTGAAATATATTCCCTTAGATTCAATGGACCTCACTCCCAGGACAGTGCATATATTAATTTTTTTAAAACAATCTAGTCTCAGATGAGATTCTAAGATTCTGCTGTTTATGGGTTATTTTTTTAAAAGCTAATCTCAGAAACATGTTTCAGACAGGGGAAGCATAACACTTTTGTATTCAAAATTATATCTTAAAATGCTTCTGCGATCCTACAGACAAGCGGATTTCTTTGGTTTTCAAAAGAAGCAGCTGTGTTAATCTGTGCAAGCACTTCCAAACCAAAATAAAACAGACGAAAAAAGATTTATTCACAAAAGCTCACATTAGAATACAGCAGTTAGTCTTTAGGGTGCTGCTCGGCTTTCGATTTTCCTCTCTTTCCCCCCCCCCAAAAACTTCTGTTTTTGGTCTTGATATGGATTTCCTTCTGGGGAAGCTGGATGCCACTCAGGGAACTGTCCGGAAGCTGCCAAAGAGATATCTATTCCGGCAATCATCGATCAGCCTGGCTTGGGAAAGCTTTCACCAAGCGCCCTGAGGTCTCCACAGCATGCTTTTAGGGCTCCTCGGCTGCCAAAACTCAAACCCAGCATCTTGCTGAAAAGAGGAGTTCTAGGCTGAACCTAATGTTTTTCCATCAAGGGCAGGAACAGCATCACCTGACTGTACCCCATAATAATAATAATAATAATAATAATAATACTAATAATAATAATAATAATAATAATAATAATAATAATAATAATAATAATAATAATAATAATAATAATAATAATAATAATAATAATAATAATAATAATAATAATAATAATAATAATAAA